AGCTTTGGCAATGAAACCTGGAAGCTGATTGGTTTCTATGCAGAAGGGAGTCTGATTTTGGACTCTCCAGCTTTAGTAAATAAACCCCTCTTTGTCTCGGTACCAATCCTCCTGACCCAATCTTCGAGGTGGCTGCTTCAGAAAAGGAAGCAGGTGCTATCCTATCCCAACCATTGGCCATTGAATCTGCACTAACTTAATGGAGCTACCTGTTTGAAGGCGCAGCCCATGCAATTCTGATCTGCACAGATCACAAGAACCTAGAATACTTCAGCTTTGCCAAGCAAGATGAGCATTAGTCTTCTCTCAATTTACATTCAACATAACTGACAGACTAAACTAAAAACGGAAAACCAGAAGTGCTATTGCCCGTGTTTGCAGAGGATGAAGTCTCACTAACCAGATACAGTTCTGTCAGCTCAAAGTGTTTTGCTGCTTCAAACTGATCTGATGTACCAGCTCAAGTGTGCTTTTTTAAAAGCTATTTTACCATAGGTCCTCTACATGTGCAAAAGGATTTTTTTTCCACCACCAGAAAAAGATCTTTTTTGCCCTCAAATATGCGTCTCAAGGTGCTTGTTATGGCCTGCCAAAAAAAATAAATTGCGAAAAAAAAACCCCAGCGCTGGCGGGCAAATAGCCAGGCTGTTTGCTGGGTCCTTAGCTGTCAGCTGCGAGGACGCAACGAATGGCAGCCTGGGAGCCCCGGATTTCACCCGTTGCAGCCAGAGGAGCAACAGGAAAGGACACAACAGGTGCCAGGTACAGTGCATTTTGGTGTCAAGTGCGTTACAGTGTACAGTGCATTGCTGTGTCCAGTGCGTTACAGCCTACAGTGATTAGATGGTTTATATTTCCCTGCTGTAATACCCTTTTGTATACACTAGATGGAGGAATTTATTTTTTTAATATATCTCATTTGTAGTACCCTTATGTTTACACAAGATTGAGAATTTCCATCATCGCTCCTTTATTTAGTAAATGTTTCGATATATTTATATATATTTTTTATTTAAATTTATATATATTGTATTTTTATTTTTTAGAGATTGCTATAATAGGGAGCTATGTTTTTATTTTATGTGGATTTTATTTTATACTCTGTCGATTGGTTATCGAATAGTAGGCTTACAAGGTCTTTGCTTGTATATTGATACAAGGTCTATTGATTTTTCCAATCATTGCTGGTGTTTTGAGTCTGGTTCCGATTACCATGGATACCTGTAAACTAATTTGGGGCTCCATTTATTGGATGCATGTCACAGGAATCCTTACCCTGAGGAAGTCACATGACCAGTGACACAACACGGTGGGTGGAGCCTAGCGACATCACTTCCAGTATCACACAAACCGGAAAGTGCAGTGAGAGGAATCATCTTTGTTATTGGAGTTTCGTGCCTTTATCTATATTACTCTTGTGAGTGGATTTATTAGTTTAATAAAGCAAATTTTTTATATGGGGTTGCACTATGAATTGCCCTTCTTTCCCTTGACCATCCTGGTGGGAATTTGGAGTCCGGTCTCTTAAAGGGCCAGTATCAAGGAAATAGGAACTAAGGGATAGACGTGGATGAGCAGAGATTGGCCAATGGTTAAAGTGTTTATGACCCATTTTCCATATAGGTCAAGGAAGGTGAGTGTATGGTACACTTATTGGTGACAGGAAGGACAATGGATTATTGCACACGTTGGATAAACTGAAACACTTCTTGTGGAGCACATTGTGTTTTGTTCAATGTGAGTGCACGTTTGGTTCAATTAGTGTGTAGTTTATTTAAATTGTGTTGCACTACAGAATATATTTTGTTTTTTATGCATGTTTTGGAGCCATGACTGAGTGAAGACATATTTGGAGGGAACAAACACGGATTTAATGCAACATGAAAGATTTATTCCAACAAAATGCATTTGACCTATTATAATATGTAGGTCGAACCTTAAGGTGAGCAGGGAGTGTGTCTTTAGACAAGCACATTTTTGGAAAGTGATCGACAGTACATCCATTAGGACATTTTTTTAACTCAGGATTTGGACTATTTTTTCACAGTTGATTTATTGTGCTTTGATGTTTATTGTATATATGAGCTTTATTTATGTATTTTGATGAGGAGTTAGCGCACTACATTTAATTTTTTGTAAAACAGTGTACAGGGCATTGTGGTGCCCAGTGCATTAGTGTACTGGGGTGTCCAGTGTGTTACATTGTACAGTGCACATGTCCCATAGGAAACCATGTTAAATGGACTGTACTGCTAACTGCAAAATGCAGCAGAAAACATGGAGATGTGAACATGTCCCATAGGAAATCATGTTAAATGGACTGTATTGCGCTTCTGCAAAATGCGGCAGAAAACGCTTACGTGTGAACTTGGGGTAAATGGAACGCACTTCACCCAAACATACACTTAAAGGGGAAGATTTACTAAAATGGGTGCACTCAGAATCTGGTGCATCTGGTACATGGTAGTCAATCTGTTTCTAATTTCAGCTTGTTCATTTAAGCTTTGGCAATGCAATCTGGAAGCTGATTGGTTTCTATGCAGAGCTGCATAACCCCAAAGCTCTTGGGAATTGTGTTTAAAATTTGGTCCCAAATACTTTCAAACTCAGCGGAACCAAACATTCCAGAAAAGACACAACCACTGAACATAAAAGCCTTTATTTTGTAAGAGAAAAAACAATGTAAAAAGGGAATACAATCAGAAAACATCTTTTCACTGTTCTGTCTATGTTGAAAGATTTAGTGGAACTATGGATCACCACACTTCACTCATTTATTAAAAGGAAACCTGTCATAAGAAAAACAAATAAATAAAATGTAACTGCAAATCTCTTTGGAGAATGGTAGGTGGCCTGGCTGTATGCTTATCCAATGACTTACAATATATTTTTTTTTTGACCCAGAACTATACAAATCAAGAGTTCTGACTTCAAAAATCCCCCACAGTGTGAAAGTAGCCTTAAAGTTAGAAGCGTTTTTTCATTAAAAAAAGCACCTGAAAAGCTAAAGGAAAATGCTTCCTTATGTATGTGAATGTATATCTATGTATGTTTTCACACTCAGGTGTTGCGCTTGCGGTGTGGCGTAAAAAACTCCTGCTTGCAGCATCTTTGAGGCATGTTTGGGGAGTTTTAAAAAACGCCCCAGAAACACCTCTTCCCATTGAAATCAATGGAAAACGCCTCTAGGAAGCATTTTTGGAGATGTTTCTAAGTCACGTCCTTTAAAAAACGCTCAGAAAGCGCAGTAAAAAAGCCTGTGCATTTTTGCTGTTTTTGCAGCAGATCAGTGTGTGAAAGTAGCCTTAGACTTCACACAATATGATTGCTCCTGGTTGGTGGCTCACATAATACTATAACCAGAGGATAAGTATGGCAACCAACTAGTATTTCAGTAAGGGATCAACAATGACAGCCTATATATTTCATGAGAAGTTTCTTTGAAGTCACATCTCAGACAGAAATACCAACCACGCATTAAAAGGCATACAAGGTGCCAAGGCAACCTGCACAGCCCTTTTATTTACATATAACTGCAGTGCAGCCAGCAACGTCACTGCTCATAATCACTGTGTGTTTTTGGCAGTTGGGCAGTCTTAGAACACTAATTGCAGAGTCATGTGAATGTGCAGGCTAGGTATTCTCTGTGGGCTCCTTTCTATCTTTCAGACAGAGAGGGCACGGGTAAAGGTCAGAATCAAATAAATAAGTGTGGGTAACCTTCACTACAAATGAATGTGAGCAGCTTGCAGTTTCAGGTTGCACTGGATTTTGTAAAATGCAGATTAGGTCACAAAAGGAATATATGGTTTGCTATAGCTTACCCCTTCTGAAAAAGCTAGTTGCCTGGCTGTCTCTGGCTTTAAACACTGAATTGGTGACCCAAAACAAGCAAACAGCTGGTGAAGTAAGAACTCTGTATTTGCGTGAAAGCATTTACAAAAGGAGTGAGGACAGCAATGGTTCTCATGACAGGTTTAAGCCTGCAATATTACTCCCTGCACAGCATTACCAGTTCACATTTCTACTGGTTGCTGAAAACCAAAAGCGTGTTTATAAGTTTATTGCAATATTTGAGTTTGGACACACATAAACCTTCATTGACATAATAGTATTTGCAATTAAGCACAGAAAGTACTCAGGGATTTTTATGTAAACTAGAGATGTATGTCAGGCTGTAGATGAAATTTTCTCTCTAAAGCTTTTTAAGTGAACTTAGACATCTAACTGTGATTAGCAACAACCTGTTTTTTGTATTTGCTCCAGTTTTTTTTATAAATAGGTCTTGCATGTTCTGTACTTGCAAAATGTTTCTGGATGTAATAAACTGCAAACCCCACTATTCTTTTTGCAGAAAAAAAAAACACCATGTGAATTAAGCCTCGGAAAACCCAAGGCAGTCTCAAATAACCATGAACTGTGATAGATTAGGGCAGAAGAAATTCCGTGAAAAGTCTTGGAATATCAGTGAGCCCAAAAGTAGATTTTTAATGCACATATCCATAATAAATAGAGCAGCTAGTTGGAGAATCTTACACTATTCCTTCAATTCCTGGTACAAATCTACAATAGAAGTTAAAAATCTCTTTAACTATAAGTTAGTTATGTACACAAGTAATCCCCCTGTTAACAGGGAGGGTGAGCTAAGTTTTAAAACTAGTGTTTATATTTTGATTTAACTTACAATTCAAAAGAAATTAAAAAAAAAAAAAAAGGATGCACACCTAAAAAAAAAAAATGCTTCAACTAAACATAAATGCCATTTTGTGCTTTCCTGCATAAAAGTATTACCAACATTCTTCTATAACTAATTACCAAGTTACTGAGTGGTTAAGCACAAGCTGTACAATTAGAAGAAACCGTCCGTGCACACTACAGTACTTTTTATGTAAACATGCACTCCGGGCCTCCACAGTGGTAGAAGGTTAATGCAGTCTGCAGGGAAATTACAATGCCAGGCAAGGGATGTGGATGATGTCAACACATTTTCTCATTAAAGTTTATAATGCATGGTGGTCAACTAATAAAGTTGAGTTTGCTCCACAGTCAATATACTGGTATGTCTCCAAAGAACTCTGAGAAGTGTGTCCAACGTAGGAAAATTTCACCGATGTTCTAGAAGAGAAAATGGAATGCGTTATTTTCCAAGTCACAAACCTTAAAATAAAGCATGCATGCAAGATTACCCAGTCTTATTAGCACCACAATAATATCCAGATTTTTAAATTGCTTTACCACTGCTGGGAATATCTGAGATTTTTAGTGAGATTTTCTTGCATTTTTCTTAATCTGAACTCTTGACTTGTGGGGAAAAACAGTGTCCTGCTTTTTATAGGCAGTACATTTAGATAAAGCCAGTATTTACCTATCCCCAGTTGTAAATAACCATCTGATAATACGGATATATGGGGCACTGATAGCAAATGCAACATATTAATGTAATAGTTTCTAAGAGGAAAGTGATCAAAAAGGTTACAACTGCTCGTGGTGGCACTAAACTCAAAATGTGAAGTTTTTTTTTTTTTAATAGGGAAATCTAAAATGTTAAATTGTACCAAATTAGCACCCTGAAAAATCCAACTTTTGTCTTGTATTTCTCCTGAAAAAGAGCACAACACATCCTGGTATGTGAGTGCGCATAACCACTCATGTGCCTACAGCTCCATAGCTATATATCTGCAGTGAGATCATCTAAGGCACTATTGCCTCTGAATGCTAATCTCAGGAGATTTGTAGTGAGATTTAGTGATGTCACTACTGTGCTGATCACTATTCTGCCTTATGGAGGCTCTGACTTTAGGATGCAAAGTCTTGCCTCTACCAAGATGGCCCCTTCAATTAACCACTTGCCAACCGCGCAATAGCCGAATGACAGTTCTTGGAGAGCGCCATATGACGTCCTCCCAGAATGCGGCCTCCTGCTTGCCCCCGGCGATCTTCTGCAGACACAGCTGATCATGTGATGTGGTAAAAGGCCAATCACAGCGGCCTTTTACCACGTGATCGATCAGCTGTTACCAATGACACAGCAGATCACCGGTATATGTGGTTGCCTGTTATCGGCTGCACTTTCCTCAGGCAGTGACAGTGTGAGGAAAGTACTGCTGATAACCGGCAATGTCAGAGGGCGGATCAGCACTGATGATCGGTGTCCTGACAATCAGTGCCCAGCAGTGCCACCCACCAGTGCCGCTTACAAGTGCACATCAGTGCCACCCACCAGTGCTGCCCAGCAGTGCCACCCATCAGCGCCAACTATACATGTTGCCTTATCAGTGCAGCCTGTCAATGATGCCTATCAGTGCTGCCTCATCAACGCACATCAATGGAGAAAAATGACCTGTTTGCAAAATGTTGCAAAAACAGAGACAAAAGAAAAACTTTTTTTATTTCAAATTTTTTTGTTTTTTTTTTTGTTTATAACACAAAAAATAAAAACACCCAGTGGCGATTAAATACCACCAAAAGAAAGCTCTATATGCGTAAAAAAAAAAAAAAAAAAAAGAATTTCATATGGGTACAATGTTGCATGACCGCTCAATTGTCATTCAATGTGTAACAGCGCTGAAAGCTGAACATTGGCCTTGGCACAAAAGGAGGTATAAGTGCCCAGTAGGCAAATGGTTAAAAGGAGAAGTTTACCTTTTGTAACTTGTTACACGCATATTCAGGGTGTAACATGCAACAATTGCACCGGCCCCCACACAATCCCCCAGCAGGTGAAATTCTTTACAGGCTACAAAAAAATTAAATGCACATTTTTTTTTACCTGCAAAAAGATGTGAATTGTTTTTTTTAAGTGAACTTATTCTTTAAAGTAAAACTATAGGCAAAACGTTTTTCTTTTGATAGAGTAAGGGAGAGTTATGACCTTTGCAAGGTTTATTTTTACCATCTTTGTCTCAGTGGTTCATTTCCCTTTTACTGCCTGTCCCATAGCCACATGAGGAAGTGAGAGGAAAACCCTGCAAAATTAAGGGAATCTCTTGGGGACTCCCACGTCACCAGAACTAGTATCCCCATTAGAAGATTTCCCCTTTATTACTTTTCCACGGACAACACAAAATTTTAGATTTTCTTTAACTTTCAATGATAATGGTAAAGACAAAGAGAGGGTGAATCTCTCTAACGGGGACACAGACAGCAATAAAAGCTGACGTGTTCTAATCCCTCTCCACTCTGTCCAAAACTAAACAAAAAAAAAAAAAAAATTAGCATTTAGTGATACTTTAACCACTTCAAATTGACACTTTTACCCCCTTCCTGCCCAGGCCAATTTTCAGCGCTATCACACTTTGAATGACAATTGCACAGTCATGCAACACTGTACCCATATGAATGTTTTAGCATTTTTTTGAGACAGATAAAACTTTATTTTGGTGGTATTGATTCACCACTGGGATTTTTTTTTTTGCTATATAAATGAAAAACTCCAAACATTTTGAAAAAAAAAAAAAAAAAAAAAAAAAAAAAAAAGTGTTTTTCTCATAAAGCTATGCAAATAAATAAATAATCTTTCTTCCTAAATCTTGGCCAAAATGTATTCATCTTTTTAGTAATGAAAAAAAAAAATAACCCAAATTAGTTTATAACCAAAAATTATAATTTTTCAAAAATTTGACAATTTTTTGATATCTTTTTTTTTTTTACATACTGTCACCCTAGCAGTACAGTGTCACCATAGTGACACGGTACTACTTGTGGGGGGTAATTAAGATTTTTCTTTTTACATGGATTGCTTTTACACCCATAAAGGCTGTAAAAGCAATAATTTCTCCTTCTCTCCGACTGCATTCTTGCAGCCATTGAGAAATACTGTGTGAGCTGTGATTGGTCACAGCTTGTCACATGGTACAAGACTGTTGTGAATAGCCTTGTACCATGTGACCTCTGATCATTTACAAGTAGTAAACAGAGGATGTCAGGAAGTGACATCTTGCTTACTACTATTCATGTGATCACTGATTGGCCAATCACACAGAGGTCCCATACAGCGATCGGTGTTCCGTTTTGTCCGTAGGACACAGTGGGCACCGGATCGCTGTGCCGCGCGCTCCCCGGGAGTGCGCACAGGCAGGGAGGACATTTCTAAACAGCCACCCGACCCTGCAATGCTCCCGTCTGGCCGTTTATATACATGGGCTGGACGGGAAGTAGTTAAGAGGCAGAGAAGAATAAGGCACAGAAAGTCAGTAAAGGGGCAAAATCAGCTGCAGGGGAGCACAGGCAAAACTGGTAACTAGTACTGCCTTATCTTTTCAGCTTGCGATTCCTCTTTAAACACACACCTTGAAATGTGGCTAGTTTATGGTGTTCATAACCAATGCTATTACCTGTATAGCTATGTGGATCAAGTTCAACACTTTCACTATTTAACTGTACAGTAAAAGCACAAACTTCATTATAAGCTATGGAAATAATTGTCCATCATCAGTTGGCACCTCTGAAAACATGGACATACAAGGAGTATTATCAGTGGAGATACAGTTCTCCTCATTTCTGTAGGTCAACAGGAGTTATGTGCAAAAATAGAAGACTGTGAGAAGAAAACAGGAAGCTGCTGCAGGAAGTAGGAAAAAGACGGAAGTTGAAAATAGCGACTGTTCTCTTTCATGTATGTACTAATTGTCAGCTGCCAAGCTACAAACATCTTCAGATATAAACAGGCGTCTCTGTACAAGCATCTGTAGCAAGTATGAATAAAAGTCATCACAGGCCCAAGATCATTGTGCTTGAGAGTTTTTAAAGGCTTATGGTTACACTGCACGATCTTGAACAAATGTTCCCTACACAACAAAAACATATTTTAATGCACCTGCGTTCTCAGGAATTTAAAAGAAAAACACTTGCTTCTTAAAATATTCCCCATGTGCACTTCTAATCCTGGAACTGGATACAATGCTCAAATAATGCAGCATACAATGCATTCACTTTGTTGCAAATTGGGCATTTTTGTTTCTCATGTATTCTAAGCTTGAATCACACACGGGAAATCTCATTGGTGTAAATAGACCTGTATATTTCATTTCACTAATGTCCAAATAAACAATTTCCTAGCGTGTGTGTGGTAGATAACAAGAGAAGGTTCCCAAACTAATGTATTTTTAATCTAGTTTTGCATTTTTAACAGAATATTTTGACTGCATAAGTGAAACATTTCTAGAATCTTCAATTTCATAAATCTGCTTTATTTCACAGAAATTTTAATGTGTCTTGTTAATTATCCTTGATTTATAAAAAAAATAGATAAAAGCAGTACATACCGCACAAAAACAACAATGTTGTGCACTTTCACTGTAGATAATGTGCAGAAGTTGCTGGTGGGAAAAAGAAAAAAAATAATTTATAAAAAAAAAAAAACAAAACAAAAAAAAAAAAAAAAAAAAACAGTCACAGATTGTTTTTGCTCAAATTTTAGACTTTGTTGCACAGGAAAAAAAAAAGTTTAAAATGTGTTAATATGCAGGAAATTATGGAACTAGCAAAAGTCAATGGCTGAATTTAGTATAATTCATTAAAGATACTTTTCTGTATACTGCAATTCTATAATAATTTATAATATATGATGATAATTTATATAGCACAAATTCTGCATGTTGTTTACAGAACACAAAGACACGACCCTAACTTCCAGTCCTAGAGGAGCTTAAAGGATAAGTTCACCTTTTGGACAAAAATAATAAATGCACATTTTTTGCAGGTAAAAAAAAAAAAAAAAAAATGTGCATTATTATTCTTGTCCAAAATGAGCCTGTAAAGTATTGCACTAGTGATCAGTAGATCGTTGATGCCATGCAGGTCTCCTGCAGACCTGTTAGAATATCTACAAGCCGTACGGGATGTATGATCAAGCAGATATTGACAGGAAGCTTGAATGAATTTGTGTGGGCGGGCACTGCTGTGGCTATGGGAACATGTTACATACAAACGGGTGGAACATGTAACATGTTCCAAAAGTGAACTTATCGTTTAAAATCTAATGTTCCTATCACAGTCATACAGCAAAAACATATTTAGGGAGATTTTGCTGATACCCTGTTTTTGCAAGAGGAAGCCCAGGCAAACAAAGGGACAATGCACAAACTCCATGCAGGTAGTATAACAGTCAGGCATCAAAACCCAAGATTTTTATGGTAGGTGTGTTAACTGTTAAAGCAAAATTAAAGTCAACAAAGTAAAAACTGCAAGCTGGCAGGGTCTTTATTGCAGAAGACATGTAAGAAGATATGTCTCTCTTGCAGGAAAACAAACTTACCTGCCTGTTCGCAATCTTCTTTAGATTATACACGGAGCTGTACATGCGCAGCTCAGAATATAGTCTCAGGACACTTCATCATCAGAATAAATTAACTCCCATGTGCATGCAGGTGTTACGTCTTTCTCCTCCTAGCCAATCAAGACAGCAAAGTGACCCGACACCCTGAAGAAGCAGGAAGATGTGGGCACTGGCTAGGGACTTTGCAGACATCACATTGCTAAAGCAGAGATACGTATTTGTAGAGTTTAGTTCTGATTTAAAGTGGACTGGAGCTCAAAAAGTGAGTATTTACTATGATGTTTAAAGGTAACATTTAGAAATGTTAGGTTTTGTGAACAGAGTGTCCACCAAAAGCGGTTACATCAAGGACCAATGTAGTAGACCATGCATGAATATTTTGCAAATCTGTATTTATTAATTACCCTTTTTAGGGGGACAGACGTTGTCTGGGGTGAGGTGATGGATATTGGTGGTTAATTGTTTCTTGATTGGAATTTTTATGAACATATATTCAATACAGCAATTAATAAATACAGCTTTGCAAAATATTCATGCATGGTCTACCACATTGGTCCTTGATGTAACCGCTTTTTGGTGGACACCCTGTTCATGAAACCTTTCTTTTTTGATAGTTGTGTTTGCTTACTGGACCACACATATATATAGTGAGCGAATACCTAGAATACCTATAGCCTCCTTTTTTATTAATCCTAACCCTGAAAAATCTACCTTTGTTTGAATTCTTCCTGAAAAACAGCAGTGTACTATATTGTTCGTTTGTGACTACAGTTTCATAGCTATCAATTTGCAGTGTGAATGGAAGATACTGTTACCTCTGACTGCTAGTCTAGAGATCGGGAACTGAGATTTGGTGATTTGACTATTGTGCTGCTCACCGTTCTCCTTGCTGGAGGTGAGTTCATGAAAGAGCAAATCCCTGTCTCTCCCAAGATTGTAGCCTTCACACAGAGACAGTGCAGACCAAGGTACAGCTATTCAGTAATGGGGAAAAAGATGTGCTGCAGGAGACTACAGGCACTACTGGTGACTAGTCCTTCTCCCTCTGCCTGACTTTTTTTGGGCACAGCTTCTAAAGTTCAGAAATAGTTTACTTAGCGTTCTGCTAGCCAGCTTTTTGTACAGTACAGAAGTTATCAGGATTCATAAATGTTCCCCACAGCATTTATCATAATATTTCTTGCTGCACACAATTAACAAATAATAAGAACATGGATATCAAACTCATGCTGATTATCGACGGAAAATAAACAATAGGAGACAGTTTTAAATAACGTCATATCTAATGCATTAAAGGAGCAAAAATACATAAAAACTGCCACAGACGTCACCAATAGATTGACCAAGTGCCCCTATCTGAGACAGGAGATTTAAAATGAAGACATACCGTATATACTCGAGTATAAGCCGACCCGAATATAAGCCGAGGTACCTAATTTTACCACAAAAAACTGGGAAAAACTATTGACTCGAGTATAAGCCGAGGGTGAGAACACCAGTGGGAAGAATCGCGCCTCATCATTGGTGTCAGTGGGAGGAATAGTGCCCCATCATTGGTGTCAGTGGGAGGAATAGTGCCCCATCATTGGTGTCAGTGGGAGGAATAGTGCCCCATCATTGGTATCAGTGGGAGGAATAGTGCCCCATCATTGGTATCAGTGGGAGGAATAGTGCCCCATCATTGGTATCAGTGGGAGGAATAGTGCCCCATCATTGGTGTCAGTGGGAGGAATAGTGCCCCCCATCATTGGTGTCAGTGGGAGGAATAGCGCCCCATCATTGGTATCAGTGGCAGGAATAGTGCCCCATCATTAGTATCAGTGGCGGGAATAGTGCCCCATCATTAGTATCAGTGGGGGAATAGCACCCCATTATTGGTGTCAGTGGAATAGTGCCCCATCTTTGGTGTCAGTGGGAGGAATAGTGTCCCATCATTGGTGTCAGTGGGAGGAATAGTGTCCCAACATTGGTGTCAGTGGGAGGAATAGTATCCCATCATTGGTGTCAGTGGGGGGGGAGGAATAGTGCCCCATCGTTGGTGTCAGTGGGGGGGAGGAAAAGTGCCCCATCGTTGGTGTCAGTGGGGGGGAGGAATAGTATCCCATGATTGGTGTCAGTGGGGGGTGGAATAGTGCTCCATGATTGGTGTCAGTGGGGGGTGGAATAGTGCCCCATCATTGGTGTCAGTGGGGGGGGGGGGGGGAATAGTGCCCAATCGTTGGTGTCAGTGGGGGGGAGGAAAAGTGCCTCATCGTTGGTGTCAGTGGGAGGAATAATGCCCCATCATTGGTATCAGTGGGAGGAATAGTGCCCCATCCATCAGTGGGAGGGTATCATTGGTATCAGTGGGAGGAATAGTGCCCCCATCATTGGTGTCAGTGGGAGGAATAGCGCCCCATCATTGGTATCAGTGGGAGGAATAGTACCCCATCATTGGGTCAGGAATAGCGCCCCATCATTGGTATCAGTGGCAGGAATAGTGCCCCATCATTAGTATCAGTGGCAGGAATAGTGCCCCATCATTAGTATCAGTGGGGGGAATAGCACCCCATTATTGGTGTCAGTGGAATAGTGCCCCAACTTTGGTGTCAGTGGGAGGAATAGTGTCCCATCATTGGTGTCAGTGGGAGGAATAGTGTCTCAACATTGGTGTCAGTGGGAGGAATAGTATCCCATCATTGGTGTCAGTGGGGGGGTGGAGGAATAGTGCCCCATCGTTGGTGTCAGTGGGGGGGAGGAAAAGTGCCCCATCGTTGGTGTCAGTGGGGGGGAGGAATAGTATCCCATGATTGGTGTCAGTGGGGGGTGGAATAGTGCTCCATGATTGGTGTCAGTGGGGGTGGAATAGTGCCCCATCATTGGTGTCAGTGGGGGGGGGGAGGAAAAGTGCCCCATCGTTGGTGTCAGTGGGAAAAATAATGCCCCATCATTGGTATCAGTGACACCAATGATGGGGCACTATTCCTCCCACTGACACTTGCTGACCCCTGTTCCAGTATGGTGCTGCTGCAGCCAGCATATGTGGTTGCAGCAGCACCTAAGCACGGCACACTTACCTGCATCTCCTTCACTCGACTTTCGCGGGGCTGCTCAGCTCCGCCTCCTCGCCGGTGATTGGCCGCCTGTGTGCCTTTCCTGAGCTACAGTTCTGGCGGCCAATCACCGGTGAGAAGGCGGAGCCGAGCAGCCGCGCGAACATCCAGTGGACGAACCGAATGAAGGAGCAGCCGCGCTTCCTGGACCGGATTGTCGTGGGACCGGAGCCAGGTAAGAGACAGCAGCCCCCTGCCCACCCCTGTACTTAGTGTCCCTTCTGTTGGAAGGGGGGGGGGGGGGGGGGGGAGCCATCTGCAGACGTTGACTCGAGTATAAACCGAGGGGGCCGTTTTTCAGCACAAAGAATGTGCTGAAAAACTCGGCTTATACTCGAGTATATACGGTAATTATCCATCCAGCAATTCCTCTAAACTTCAACCTAGAACAGACAGAACAAGAACATCAAAAGCTCCTAATCTGCATTTTTCTGATGTATGTCAGGGCTAACAGTTAAACTTGTAGTAAAGTCACTTTTTTCACTTGTATCTATAGGTAAGCCTATAATAAGGCTTACCTGTAGGTACTGTAAATATCTCCTTTTTGGAGATATTTATTTGTAAAGGCGCACAGGCGCATGCACTTTGAAGGTACGGCATACCTGTGCAGTTCCTTCAAAGACTGTGTGTCATAAAAATTGACTCGCAGGAGTGATGTCATCGTGGCTTGGCCATTCAAGCCACTGGAGCCCGCGACCTGGAAGGAGGACAGGGTGAAGATGGAAGCCCTGTCAGCGGTGAAAGCTCGCTGCTGGAGGGTTTCGTTTTAAGGCAAGTTCCACATTGTGTGCTAGTAAGTGATGTATACTAGCAGACTACGCCATTGTCTTGCAGAGTTTTTTTCTTTTTAAAAGGTCATGGTTTACTACTGCTTTAAAGTCAGAGAATCAGCATGACAGCTAGGGAAGTAGTACTTTAAAAAGAGAAGGCAACATCACTACATGTTTGGCAGGTGATTTTGGGAAAATACTTCTAGGTAACTAGACAACTTCCAACAGGAATTTATTTCCAAATATGTATCTGCTTTGGGATCCACAAAGGGAGAGAGAGACATCATTTTACCTTATCTGGAATATGACATTCAGTTTTGGGCTTCAGTTCACAGAAAAGTATATTGGGAAACTGGAGAAAGTACAGAGAAAGGCAACCAAACTGAGGCATGGAGGAGCTCAGCTATGAGGAAATATTAGAGGAACTTATCTGGAAGGTAGGGTGTGTGGGGGGGGGGTGTGTGTGTGTGGTGGGGGGGGGGGGTGATGTGTGTGTGTTTTCTTGGTGGAGCTGGATGGACTTTTTTTCAATCAGATTATCTATGTAATATTAACTATGTAACTATTTATGCTCATCTTCATTTCTCATTGAGAACAAGCTGGATCAAGCAGATGAAGATAACTGCACAGTTTTGGCATAGCAGAGAACAGAGTGTGCTGTATATATAAAAATAAAGCAAATCTTTTAGTACATGAACACAATCTATTTGTCTTCATCTGCTGCTAATTTTGATGTACAAAGAACACTGTGTTTTTCATTCAGACAAATAAGAGTGAGCCATCAACCCTATCTACAACAGTTCTCTCTTAGCAAAGGGGGTGGATAATATAAAAATTTGGTATGAAGTCTAATATATATACTTACTATAAATATGAAAGGATTCCACCCAACTCAAGTTTCACTGTGAAATTTACCTGAGGGATACAAAATATCATTCATTTAATTGCTTCTAAATACTGCATTTTCTTTGCATAAATTACTTGCAATCCAGAATTAAATAGATCAGAGAAGTCACTGGAGGAAAGAAATATTGCACTCTTTTCGCAGTGACTTGGAAATAGTGGATAGTATTTGTAAAACCAAAAAATAGTGCATAAAAATCCTCTTGCGCTAACAAATGGTGAACAACTAAAAACAGCTGCCAACACTCTCCTACTAATACCTAGTGTAGTGTGCAATTTTAAATAAATATATAGTGTGGCGCTCGGAATAAATAAATAATGTGTAATCCAAAATAATTAATAAATAAATACCCTAAAAAACAATAATACCTCAAGTGATCACACTCTAAAATAACAAAGTGTATCAAATAAATAAGTGCAACAATAAATGACTCAAGTGTTCACACTCTAAAATATATCAAGTGACTAAAATGGATCACATGCTTGTAATCAATAGAAATCAATACCAACTTCATACAAAGTGAAAAAAGTGCCAAATAATGTGCCAAGAATATATAAATGTCCGTTCCTTCAAAAACAATTGAAGGTGATGTTCTTCACGTGATAAACGTAATTCATGCAATAAATAGTGGTAATTAATAATAATTTGTGCCAAAATCTTCTCCAAACAATAGCTGAAGTGCCTCCTCACCTCCTCCCTGCGACCCAAAGGGCCAACAGGCTTGTAGGATCAACCTGAATCCTAGAATCAAGGAAAGCCAACAGCTTTTTCTTCCTTCTTTATCTTTCCTGGTGGGCCTCCTATTTCCCTTATGCAGCTCAGGTGCCTTAAAGAACAATAGCTCACCGATCCAGTGAGCCAAAGAAGAAAAAACACCCTCTAAGTGTAGTATTTCCGACTCCTTTTATTGTAAAGTATGCAAAGTGATGGAACTCACATATCCTGCAGTCCTCCCTCCTCACCGATGTGTGGGTACACTGCATGTGAACTGGGACTTCCGGGTGTGGGTGTGGCAAGATGGCGTTACACGCCGGAAGTGCGTCACCGCGCACCGAAAACTGCGCACTCGTAAACCTACGCGTTACGTCACGTACAACTCGTGACTTCCTCGTGTAACGCCATCTTGCCACACCGGTGCGGGCGGCACGGTGTATTGTTGTGTGCAATCCCAGTTCACATGCAGTGTACCCACACATCGGTGAGGAGGGAGGACTGCAGGATTATGTGAGTTCCATCACTTTGCATACTTTACAATAAAAGGAGTCGGAAATACTACACTTAGAGGGTGTTTTTTCTTCTTTGGCTCACTGGATCGGTGAGCTATTGTTCTTTAAGGCACCTGAGCTGCATAAGGGAAATAGGAGGCCCACCAGGAAAGATAAAGAAGGAAGAAAAAGCTGTTGGCTTTCCTTGATTCTAGGATTCAGGTTGATCCTACAAGCCTGTTGGCCCTTTGGGGTCAGCAGGAGGGAGGTGAGGAGGCACTTCAGCTATTGTTTGGAGAAGATTTTGGCACAAATTATTATTAATTACCACTATTTATTGCATGAATTACGTTTATCACGTGAAGAACATCACCTTCAATTGTTTTTGAAGGAACGGACATTTATATATTCTTGGCACTATTATTTGGCACTTTTTTCACTTTGTATGAAGTTGGTATTGTGATTCTATTGATTACAAGCATGTGATCCATTTTAGTCACTTGATATATTTTAGAGTGTGAACACTTGAGTCATTTATTGTTGCACTTATTTATTTGATACACTTTGTTATTTTAGAGTGTGATCACTTGAGGTATTATTGTTTTTTAGGGTATTTATTTATTAATTAGTTTTGGATTACACATTATTTATTTATTCCGAGCGCCACACTATATATTTATTTAAATTTGTAAAACCAAAACATGCCACTACAACGTAGCACTATGTCAAACAGAAATAATTCTCAGTATAGAATGTGTGATCTGCAAGTATTCACCAAAGAATGGTCAGATGCACAAGTCACTTTTGTCTTTTTTGGACCAATCCTTTAATTAGGAGTGTTCTGCTGCATGACCATTCATGTTTTGAAATTAAAGAAATGAGGACGCTGAAGATAGTTCCTGAAACTGATAAACTTAGGGCATACAATAGCAGTTTGACAAGGGTTCCTAAAAAAGCCAATTTCTTTATAATTTTTTACAATTGTAATTTGTGACTATGTGGAGATGCCACATAACAATATCCAATTTGTCCACCTTAGGATGCTGTCATCTAATTTTTATAGATCCTTTTACAATGATCCATTCTTTTAGGGCACACTCACATGAGTGATTAGCACAAACTGCAAATTCTGGTGGCAAGAATCTGCCAATTCTTGCAACTGGAACAAGTGAATGCAAAGAGCTGCAGCTGCTCAGCCCATACAAAGCAACGACAGGCTGACAGTGGCTGCAACTATCCATAACTGTGCCTGGCTTTTCGTAAAGCCAGCAATTACCTGCGGTTAGGGACGCATGATCACGACAGGACAGACTCTGTCCTAACTGCAGGTGACTGCATGCCATGTCAACAGCTTTTTGCTTTGTATGAGCGGAGAAGCCACAGCCCTTTGCACGCACCTGTCAGTCCAGTTGCAGGAGTATGAAGATTCTAGTCACTGGAATTCAGCGAGTGCTTATTGCCCATGTGCAAGCACACAAACTATACACAGAGATAGAACTGCAAGGCAAATGTAATAAAACTAATCAAATACAATCAGGTAATTACCAATTTCTCGCTGAGTGGCTGAATGACAGACACATTGGTCTGCTGTTGAGTTCCAATGACTGTGTTCATATACTGTACTTGGCTAATCAAGCTATCCACAGAGACTGCATAAAAGTTGGAATTGGTGAATCTTAGTGTGCTCTGTAATACATAAAAGTATCTATTAATAAAAGAAAACCACTGCAGAGTTGTTCACATAAAAAGCTTATTATAAGATCGACATTTAATATTAGCACTGTATATTTTATTTTATTTATTACAGGTACTTAAATAGCGCTGTCAATTTACGCAGCACTTTACATATATATTGTACATTCACATCAGTTCCTAACCCTCAAGGGGTGTACAATCTAAGGTCCCTAACTCACATTCATACACATACTAAGGCCAATTTAGATAGGAGCCAACTCACCTACCAGCATGTCTTTGGAGTGTGGGAGGAAACCGGATTACCCGGAGGAAACCCACGCAGACACAGGAAGAACATGCAAACTCCAGGCAGGTGGTGCCGTGGTTGGGATTCGAACCAACGACCCTAGTACTGCGAGGCAGAAGTGCTAACCATTTAGCCACTGTGCTGCCCTGTATTAAGGCCTCTTGCAAACTGCAGCTTGAAAAAGTTCAGTACTGCATTTCTTTTTTACTGCTTTAAAATGCAGCCCATTGTTTAAAAAGTACCTGTACAAACAGGCACATAAACAAGCGCTGTGTATGAAGTAAAAAAAAAAGAAAAATATGCGTACCAGTAATTCGTGTCAATACGCGCATATGATCATAAATATTAATGAAGTTTGCATAGGAATGTATTGTTTGTGTGAATATGCACAAATACGCGCAAAACAAATGTCTGATATTACATCAACAAATACTGATGCTCAAACATCAGTACCGTGTGAAAGAGGCATAACAGTATGTTTATGTGAAGTATGCAAAAACAAAAACAACCACACAAAAAACAAATATGCTAGTGTCTTTTAGACATCTGCCCATTTTCTAACAGTGTGGTAAGTCCCACTATATTAGATTTGACCCAAAAGACAAGACAATATAGTGCATGTGCTGCCTACCAGTTCCTTCCTTCCATCTGCCTCGCTGTGAGAGGTTTTCCAACATCCTAGAATTCTGTTGGAAGCCCTAAATGCTCACAATAGGTGCTTATTCGGAAGGTCAAACAAAAGGTTTCTACCCACCTTTATAATAAAATGTGTATCTGCTGTAAAGCTGAAACTTTTTTTGGACTGGATAGAGTGCGGAATTGTTAAAACCACTGACTTTTTTTTTGTTTGTGTCTATAGGGTAGAATTCATTTCCCAGAAGTGAGAAGAGATCGCTCCAAAGTGAGGGAAAACTTCCTCTTAGACAGTTGTCACCAGTAACAGTGCCCTTGGTCATAGATTTGCTCCGGTGGATTCCCCATCGTGTTCTGTCCACTAGGACAAATAGAACAGAAAGTCTTCCTAGGAAGAACACTAGAGGACCCTTTCACATTCATTGCAAATAAAAGTAATTAGGCAGCATGCAGGGAAAAGGCTATTAGGATTAAATAAAAAAAAAAAAGGGTAATTACCGTCATAGCAAGGTTGACAATGGCATTTTCCTTATCGAACCACACTCGTACCATTCGAATGCCGCCATCCTCCGCCACCAAAGTACGCGGAAAAAGAAAGAACATCACCAGACCACATATGAAGAGGCACATTAGTACCGACAGCACAACATACAGTTTTCTGTGGAGAAAGCATATATAAAAACACACATTAAGCTGTTGATGCACGATTTTACATATTATAATTGCATCCAAGCTGCACTGCGCTGCATTACTTTAACTGACAATTGCACGGTCATGCAACTCTGCACGCAAATAAAAGTCATGTCCTTTTTTTCCCCCCACAAATAGAGCTTTCTTTTGGTAGTATTTGATCACCCTCGCCTCTGCGTTTATTTTTTGCGCTATTAAAAAAAAAAAACTGACAATTTTGAGATATAAACACTATTTTTAACTTTTTATTTTCCAATAGTTTTTATTTAGATTTTTCAAGTTGTAAACAGTGCAAAAGACAAATGTTATCACATTGGTTGAATAGCACAGAAGATCACCTGGGTTAACAAACTGCAAACAAACCTTAGAAAACTAAAGAATCTGTGCAAAAACAACTGGGTAATTCAAACAGAAAATTCCCAGTCCACTAGGTATAGGAGAGTCAGTGGTTGTAGCCTCAAGAATCACACAGAACGAGTATCGTGTATCAAGAAAAACATTACAGATGTTGTAGAGTGAGTAAAGAGCAGGTTCAACTGGCCCCAGAAAACGGGGAAATAAAAAAGGGGACAGTAAAAAGTAAGAAAAGGAAGTAAATAGGAATGAGGAAAGGAGATGGTCAAGTCGGGAAAAATCAAGGCACGGAAACGTATTGAATCTGTGGGTCCCATGTCCTATCAAATTTATCAGTATTGTTGTGTAGAACACAGGTGATATTTTTGACTTTTTGCTATTAAACATATCCAGTAAAAAAAATGTAAAAAAAAAAAAGGCCAAAATGTATTCTGCTACATGTCTTTGCTAAAAAAAAAAAAAAAAAAAAAAAAAAAAAAAATCCCAATACATGTAAATTAATTAGTTTACGTGAAAGTTATAGTGTCTACAAATGGCGGTATATATACTGGAATTTTTATTTTTTTTAATACTAGTAATGGCGGCGATCAGCGACTTATAGTGGGACAGCGGCAGGCACTCTGGGGGGAACTGTCACTTGCATCTCCAGTAACACCAATACAGTGATCAGTGCTAATAAAAAGCACTGACACTGTACTAATGACACTGGGCAGGAAGGGGATAACATCTGGCGTGATCAATGGGTTAACTCTGTGCTGTGTGTGTGCACTTTACACTGCAAGCACACTGCTTTGCATGGCTCTGCTATGCAGTGTGCAGGAGCTGACAGGGGAGGGATCTGTATTGTTTACATACAGGTCTCTCCCCCAATTGTGATACACGGTGATCGCCCTGTGCCAGCGGGGAATCACCAGCTGGGACCCGGTGATTGACAGCCAAGGCCGTCAATGGTGGCGCAGGTAGGGCGCGCGCCCCCTACCCGGAAATGCAAAATTGCATATATACACACGTGATTTTGCACACCCCTGCCGCCCTGTAGCAGTATTTCTGCTATAGAGCGGTGGGAAAATGGTTAAACAAAAATAAAATCCCCCGCAAAATATACTGCAAATGGTATATATATCTATTTATGCTTGTGAACAATCAACATAGTCTGATTTCTGTTTACCTCTTGACTGTTACTAAAAGATAGAGATAATCACATGACCTATGACAGCTAGCCTGCTATCAAACATAGGATTGTTTTTAAGGCATAGAGCAAATTACTGTATGTAACCTTTGGCAGCCAGTATTCATGTTTCACTGACCTGAACACAGTAAAATTCAAACCACTGTTACTTTGAACAGCAATTTTTAAATGATAGTTAATGCCTGCCATACTGTATAGGCAGATTGCAGGTAGTCATTACATGCCATAAAGTCATAAATACCAGCACACAAAATAAGGTTAAGCAATAAAAATCTAGCCCTAAACATATCTGGCATAGAATGGATATTAGTTCCATGTCAGTGTGTAATGGTTAGGATTGGGGGGGGGGGGGAATCTCATTGGTGACATGGATACTGCGCAGAAGGCAGTGTGTAATGCAGTGAAAACCCGGCTTGTAACATGGATGCTGGGCAGTAGAGAAGTGAATGGAGTCCCTTGTTATATCAGCAGGATCTCTGTCATAGCTTCTACAATACAAGTGAGTGTAGTAGATGTTGTACCTGATCCCAGAAGTGCTGCGGAAGAGTGACAGTCAGGTTTGGCAGAAGATTCTATACCTTACAGCTTTGGAAATAATGTCCAAGGTCTCTGCTTTGACTAACCAGTCTGACTATTTCGTCTACACTGTGGAACCAAGTATAGATTACCAGGGTTCCTTAACGCACTATAGCTGAATGATGGCTACAGCGCGATCATCTAGTTCTGGGAGGGCATCATATGACGTCCTCCCAGAATGTGCCCCCTGTGTGCCCCCAATGGCACGCACCCAGTGCGGTCTATGATCGCTGTTTCCTTTGGACACAGCTAATCACATGACATGGTAAAAGGCCAATCGCAGCGTCTTTTGCCACGTGATCAGCTGTGTCCAATCACAGCTGACCACCATGTAAATACACTTCCCAGTTATCGGCAGTACTTTCCTCATGCTGTCACAGTGTGAGGAAAGTACTGCCGATAACCGACAACTATCAAAGGAGACATCTGCACTGATTATCAGTGCAGTCCCAAAAGCGCCAACCAGTGCTGCCAATCTGTGCCCTTCAGTGCCCATGAGTGCCACCTATCAGCGCATCATCAGTTCCTCCTCATCAATACCCACCAGTGCAGCCTCATCAACGCAGTGAAGGAAAAAACATTACCTGTTTGCAAAATTTTTATTTTTTTTTAATTTTTCGTTCATTTTTTCCTTTATAGTGCAAAAAATAAAAACTAATGGTGATTAAATACCACCAAAAGAAAGCTCTATTTGTGTGAAAAAAAAATGATAAAAAGTTCATATGGGTACAATGATGCATGACTGCGTAATTGTCAACGTGTGACAGTGCTGAAAGCTGAAGATTGGCCTGGGCCTGGGCAGGAAGGGGGTAAAAGTGCCCGGTAGACAAGTGGTTAATATGGAAACAACATTGTCTGCCAGTAAAATACATTTTAAGGATAATTACACCAATGGCCTCAGCAGATTCTATCAGATATCTACTGTGAACCTCTGTTGATATAAACTATGGTATGGGGCAAGTTCAGTGTCTGCTAGACAGGGCAATTTAGTACTGCTACCACCCCATGGTTAGAGGAACAATGAAGATATTTTCCAAAGTGGCCAATGATTTTATTTGGAAAACTAGAACTGGATTAAAATATAAGTCTCCTGTAATACTGCCATGAATGTACAGAAGTAGAAAGAGAATAGCAGGAATCTAATAAGCTATCACATTTAGGTATGACATTGTAAGATTTGATTAGGCTTTTCTAAGTAATTTCAGTGATTTTTTTTTTTCTATTTAGGACATTCTTCAATTCTGTTTTAAACTTTCCATAGCAAGAGCACACTTACGTTCTTTGGGGCTGCAGTCTCTGGTCACTGTATGGTATTAATGCAACCAACTCGTTTACTTGCTCTGTAGCAAAGCAAATACACACAATACATTTTATACATTATCATTATACAGGATTTTTATAGTACTGTCATTTGTGCAGTGCTTTACAAAATGAAGGCAGAAAGTACAGTTACAATACAATTCAATACAACAGAAATTAGACGGCCTTGCTCATGGCAACAAATAATGCATTTTCATTGAGGCTCCTTGTAACTAGGTGTTCTTGATCTCCTGCTACAGTAATCACTGACTTAGTAAGTAGGGGTTGCTAAAAATAATATTTAATTCATTTCAGCCAAAAAGAAAGTGCTTGATAACTTTCGCTTAGCAAATCTTAGCATTATAAAAGGCTTACATTTTAAAACAGAATAACAGTTTAACGTGGAACTTAACTACGTCTGAGCACCACAAACCAAAAACACTAATTCATTTTTAATCCTGAAGGAATAAATCATCCATTCAGGTCTTCCATGTTTAACTTTCTTGGGAAATCATTTTGCAGAACACTCCCCTAGCTTTTCTAGCCACAGCCATCTTGGGTAAGGGGAGATTATTCATGTAGCATTTGCTTCCTGGAATCCATCTGTCCTTAGCTCAGACATGTCAGCAGGGAAGTGTGCTTAGGTGAGAAAGCCCCTTCTGACGAAAGAAATGCTTATGATGACTCCTTATGACATCATTTTGGCCAAGGCAAGAAACCAGGAAGCAACTGAAGTAAACAAGTAAATATAATATACCTTCCTATCTATTTATAATGCAAAAAAAATAGTTAATGTTGATTGAGAGTGTTTAATTCTGCTTTAAGTACACTCAAACCCATTACTAAAAATCTCATACGTTTTAACATGTCTTTGTAATTTTAAGGCTGCATTCACACTTGTACGACTCCACACCCAACTCCACACCCAAACGACTTTGGAGTGCAACTTTGACGCAACTTTGCATGGGTGCAACTTGGATACAACTTTGGCTTTTATTAATGATAATAAACAACTGTTGCATGTATAAAATTCAGGTGCAACTGTCATACGACTTTTGAGGGTTTACACTGCAGTCTATGGCACTCAAGTTGCATGAATGTCGTACCAAAGTAGTGTGTGCACTACTTGGAAATCACTGCAGTGAAGTGAAGCTCTGAAGTCATACATATTTGAACGGTTGTCATTGAAAAACATGGGGTATGATTTATCATGCAACTTTAGTGTCCAAAGTCGCATGACAAGTTGCACAAGTGTGAATGGAGCCTTAAGGTTGTTGCAATTTTTCAACTTTATTTTAAGAATCCTTTTGTGATCCTTCCAAGAAGGTTCTTATTCAGCTATTTCTTGTTATGAGGTGACAACTGTGTAGTCCTGCATTGTTCCTCAACACCCATCACCCCTGTAAGAGTGCAACTGTGCCAACATACATTGCACTGCCATTGTTTATGTTGCAACTAGTAGGAAGCCAGTCCAAAGCAATGATGTGCAGCCGACTCTGGGGTTTCTGTCTGTATACGGGAAATGGCTAAAATGGTGGATGTAGACCAGCAGCACTGAGATACAAACAAAAGTGAAAACAGCCTTTTAGCCCTGGTTGACCAGTGCGGCTTTGAAGTTGCGCTACTTCAAAGACAACTATTCAGTGCGATTTCATTGCAACTTGCTGACACTGTGTAAATTCATTTAACAGATGTCAATGCAAGTCACAACAATGTCACACAGAAATAGTCTGAGTCGCACAGATTTTAATGGTTCCATTGCGGCAAAAGGGGCATGACTTGTCATGCGACTTTGAACTGTCAAGCTGCATGACAAGTCACACTGGTGCGAACCAGAGCTTATGGAGAAAAACACAGCAAATGTTTAGAAGTATGATGATTAAAGAGTTCCAGAATGGCATACTTGTTTACTTTACACTAAAGAGACATTGTCACCTTGCCTATTCAGGATAAAGCTGCCCGATACTCACTTGTGCACCAAACCCCTGCCACTGATTCCTCTGTAGCAATTGGCACAAAATACCCTACATGTCTTGTTGTAGGTAAGCATGGCACCTCCTCTCATGAAGCAGTGCTTAAGCTGTGAGCGTGTTTAAACCTTTTGATTGCCATGACATGTAGAATAACTCCTCAAGAGTTAAATTTTCATACATTTTAGAGCAAAAATCCTGCTTAAGAGAAATTACCGAAAGATGCCTACTATTACTGTTGTTCGCCAGAAAATGCCCTTCTTGTTGTCTGTTTGAAACTAGTCTGAATTTGTTATTAAGGGCCTGATTTCCTTGACTTCAGGCTAAGCCAACTAGTAATTCCCAGTCCAGTTAAAGTATCCTTACTGGACACTGGAGAGGGAACAGGTAATTGGAGGAGCCTATTCCTTACGAACGTACATGGTTCATTTATCCATGTTTTCCTATTACAGGACCCTTGAAGGTAAACCTAGGCTGAAAGCAGGAAATGCAAACAGCTTCACCTGTTGGAATGCATCCAGTTCCCTGGCAGGAAGGGCAGGTAATGCTGTCCCGACCAGTAAATTCTACATAAGGAAATTGTGCAATATCTTCCTCTCGGTCTCTTTCATCCAACAAATCATCCTCTTCCACATTTGTGTTGCTAGCCTGCTTCGAGGTTGTCACACGACTGGTATAGGCAGATACTATGGACCCCATTGTCTTTGTTCAGCATCTGTTTTGAAAAGAAATATACATGGAATTAAAATTTTAAGGATTGGCATAGGTGGCTCAAAAATGTAAACACTGTTTCGAAACCTACTAAATGGCATTATAGTGTTCTAGGAAAATAGGATTTTATTACTCACTATGAAATCCTTTTCTGTCCATTAAGAGATATAGGAATTTCTGACCCTTCAGGTTATTCTGTCACCAATAGGAGGACTGAACATTGGCAAACAAAAAAAACTGTAGGCCAGGCCAGGATAACTCCTACTAGCAGAATGCCTCAGTTTTGTAGCAGAGCAGTATCAAGAGCATGGCTATAAACACCGAGTACCACCCTTCATTGGACTCTAAAATTAATTTACAGTGAGCTTAAAATTCCTGCGTATTTCTTTTTGTCCATTAAAAAAGGGACACAGGAAATCTTTCAAATTTAGAATGTCCAAAAGAAGTCAAACTGAGGGGTGGGCAACACAGCAAACAAATGCTAGCAGGTACAGGAAAACAACAGAGAATTGGGGACTGCCTACAGCTCAACAAGCCACCGGAGGGACCTTACATTTGAAGCTCTGACCAAAGACCATATGGCAGCCTTGCAAATCTGAGAAACAGTAGCCTGATGCTGTATAGTCCAAATAGCACTCATAAGCTTGGAAGATGATCCATTTGTGCCACTAGGAAATGGTGGAATGAGAAACCGGTTACAGGGTCTGTCTGGAATTACAAAAAGATCAGTCTTCCTGAAAGAAGTAGTGGCTGAGAGATAAGATTCACAGCCAAAATCACAACCAGATAATGCAGTGAAATTGCCTTTCTAGATCTAGACAAAAGGGATGGATAGACAATGTCTTGGTTGATGTGAAACTACTTTAAATAAGAAGTATGGGCTTATGAAAAAAAATAAACCTACATACTCACCTCCATAATGCAGCATCGCCTAGCAGCATGTCTGGCATCTGCTTCCGTTAGAGGATCCCCGTTCCTAACAAACCTGTCCAGTTTGTTGTTGAACCATAAAGTCAGGAGGTAAACATCCAATGTCCCTTACATGTGGCAGAGGTCTTGGAGCACTGCAATCAACCAAACAGCAGCCCCTTAAAGCTCCTGCACTGGCTCCAACATGCTTCTCATGTTCCTATTCTTATTTTCCATGACTGTAATAAACAAGACAGACAAGGTTGAAACATGAAGTTATAGCGAAACTTCTGATTCCTTCCTGATGATCAATGTATGCCATGTCACTGTGCAACTGAATCTGGATCATATGAATAACCAACAGGATGGTCCAGCACTGCAGCCACAGCCAGACTGCTCAAAGCTTCAGCTTGTTGATCAAGAAATAAGACTCCTCTGACAACCAAGTCTCCTGTACCGACACAGTGCCCAGGGCTCTACTCCAGCCCAATAGGCTGGCATCCTTCATGAGTCACCAAAACAGTGGACACTCTAGTCTTTGGTGCCAAACTACTCAGTCTGTCCGAGGAATGGACTGAATCTTCCCACAAAGGGAAAATATTATGTTGCAAGGGTTTGAAGAGCTTTGGGCTATATAGTCTTACATGACTGTTAAAAAAAAAAAAAAAAACTCAACTGAAAGAATAAAAGAACTGACCATAACTGCCTATGCTAGGATGACACTGATGACTAAACTGACTCTAGAAGCAAAGGGCTGCAGACACTGGCTCCATCAATGGGCACACTGTAATCAACAATGGAGCTACGACTAGTATAGTGTAAGCTAGGAGTACTGGCTACAGTGGGGCTGTTCCTTGCCAGGACTCCCACTCCCTCATCTAGAATCAGACATTTGCCAAAGGCTCAGGGTATACAGGCAAAAGCACTCAAGAAAACCAAACAGCTTGTAGCAGATAAGAATCAGGTCATCAGTGGGGACCAACATGGACAGACCTAATATTGGCGTGCACATGACTCTTTGCAAACAAGAGTAGCAGCAGGGAAATGCATTCTTGATGCTATAGGATGGAAACGAGAGCACAGAGATTGTGTGCTCAACACTACACTCAGTTGATGTCAGTAACCCTGTCCCACAATGGTGGAAACATTGAATTTTACAGGTGCCTAAAGACCAATGCAAATGACTTGTCTTCCAGATGTCTGCTTGCCTGGCCTACATACAGAGCAAGTCTTCAGAAACAGAAAAGGTGCTGAGGCAAAGCCAATGGCTTCAGAGCTGGAAAGTGCTCTATGGTTATCTTTTTACAGATCAGAATCTGGCAAAGGCCTTAAGCGAAACCCAGAGTCCAAAGGTCAATTTATGGCTATACCTGCAACCTCCAGGCCAGCAGGGTGCAGACGCAATATCCCAGACTGAGGACAGCCCTGCTGGATAGCTGCAATCAAAAAAGACCAGCTCCAGCTGTGATGTAGGGGGGGGAGTGTTAATTGAGGAAAAAAAATTCCAAAGAATAAATGGTGTTAGAAAAATAGGTTTGAATGAAAAATTATCCTTGGCTGGCCTAGTTTTTTTTTTGTTTTTCTGTGTCCAATACTCCTTATGTGGCAGTATAAACCCCCCCCCCCCAAAAAAAAAAATATATATATTTTCTGTGTCCCTAAATGGAGAAAAAAAAAATACACAATATAAATGCCATTCTATAGTTCTGCTGCACTGCAAAAGGTAGTTTGCTCTTCTCATTAATGAACCTGGAAAGGCAAAAACTATTTTGACAGGTGTTTATATACTATAATTTAAAAGTACATGCCCCAAAAAGATACACATGCAGTGAATGTATGGTGAATGCCACTCCCTTGCTTTATAAATATACACAATATACTAATACTGCAGTTGAGTGGGAACCTGACAATACTGGTATCAGACTAATACAACACTTATGGGCATGCCTGTTTTAGTGTATAGAGGTTTAATAAGATGTACAGTATGTTTTACCTGTGATACTACATCAGAACAAAGGAACTGCAGTTTTCATGTCGGAATGAGTTGGTCCATAAGGAAGCATTTCGTGAGCTTCACTGCATACTTGCACAGTAGACATAAATGAGCTGATTTAATAAATAAGTTAAAAGTCTTCACACAAAAAAATTGTACAGATATTCAATGCAATCATCCAGTCACATGAAAAGCATGTATACATAGTTGGGTATTCAAATAGAACAGGAATTTACATTCACATGATCGGATAACTGAAGTGAATATTTACACAATCTGGGGGATTCAAAGCCCTAGAGACAATTTTCTGGTGGTATGGCCTTTAAAAATGGCCTATGCCAGATTCAAAAATCCCTGCTGCCTGTTTCAGTAGCTTTTCCAGCACGTGCCACAGATTCAGGTAGTTCTTAGTGCTGCAGCAAATTCAAAAAGAATTACCTCTACTTAGATTAGGAAACTGTATGTGATTAAGATCATCTCTAACTTAGCATATAGAGAGAGTTGTGTGCCTGTCTCTGTACACTGTTGTGCTGCCGAACACTGCTTTACCTACTACCCTCTCCTAGCAACCAGTGAATTGGACAGTGGGAGAAGCTTGATGGGGAAACTGAGACATTAGTTACCTATTAGATCTCTTTCTATAGCCAATAGCAGACTGTTTATTATTATTATACAGAGTTTTATATAGCGCCAACAGTTTGCTCAGCGCTTTACAAAATGAAGGTAGACATTACAGTTACAATACAATTTGGTACAAGAGGAAACAGAGGGCCATGCTTGTTAAGAGATTATTGGCTGCGGATCTGCCACTGCCAAATGTCAATCACAAGTGGAGTGAGCCTGAGGAACTAGTGCCTGTGAATCCCCAACAGGCTCTACACCCCCAGCTTTAAAACTCCCCTGTTGCTGCACTGTTTGTGTGACAGCTGCAGCAGGGGAGAGCTCAGCTGCACTGAGAAAAAGAGGTATGAATTTGTCACCCACACTGACATTTGCCACGCGGAAGCACTTCAGAATGAGTGTTCTTCCTTTAATGGAACGATTCTCAACCAATTTAGTAAACCAGCCTCATAGTAGTAGTATATAAAGGAAATTGTTGCATATAAGGGACCGAAATACATAAACTCAACAAACTGGTTATCTATATTTAGTTATCTTTAGATTGCAGCACTCCTCCCTCTTAGTCTTTGCAGTTTCAGAGAACTACCTACATAAGTAAATGGTAACATATTTACCAACCACCTACACTACATCACTGCTTTATTTACACTGGATATCACTACAACATCTGTACAAGGAACATGAACATAAACGTATGCTCCTTCTACCACCTCCATCATTAGAATTGACGCATCATTACTTTTCCCTCTGAGACAGTCTGCATTCAATAAATGTTGTGCCTTCTTAAAAGCCATCAAAGCCAGTATTACTAGATAGACTGTTCTGCTGGTTAAATACCCATGCACCCTATAATCCTAACCATAGGTATCTAATAGCAGACACAGCAAAGTCTACCACAAGGGCAAAATAATATTCCCCAAGCTTAAGTTCACAGTAGTGCTGTTACACAATCACGCATCCTGCAGTGAGTTTTGGCATGTTTTTCACGTGTCCTCATGCTTCAGGTGTTTTTAATTTGGTCAATGACTAGAAATATCTGATGTGACATTATGGTTTCTAGGAGGAAAATACTACAAATAAAAACAAATGTACTGTATGAGTATTTTTCATTCGCTTCCATTGAAGTCTATGGGACTCAAAATGCTCTGAGTAGCATCAAAAGAAGCACATGCACCTTTTCAAACATCTCACTGCACCAAGTTGCACTGATGTGAATAGGAACCATAGAGAATAATTGGATTTCCATTGTTATGCATTGCAGCACAATGACAGACACGTGACAAATCACAATAGTGTGAATGGGGCTAAAGAATACCTGTACTCAATATGAAGGAGGCACTGATGATCTCTTATTGAAAATGCTAGTTTCTGGCCGTCACGATGATCCAAAAGCTTCATTACCTTCTAAGTCCAATAACCTGGAAGTATGCAGATCAAAAGAGTTCTGACTTTACTAAATGCATGC